AAGTTGTAAGGAGTGTTTGGCCTCGACTGCTTTTTTGATTGAGGCACAATACAGGGCGGTGAATAAGACTAAAGCTTATTTACATATATCAGTCTTGAAGTAACAGTAGCACAGTAACCAAAATGGCCTGTTTTATTTCCAGGCATAAAGAAAAGATGAAATTGGTCATATAAAAATGATTTAGGATTGGCTATTATATACATAAACCTGTACAAATGTTATAAATGAAAATCAGGGAAAAAGAAAAGCGAGAAAAGTGTAAGATATAGCCCCTTTAAACACAAACTATTATGGACATTCCAGTTCATTCTTCATTATCATTAATTTAGCTGCTTGGAAGTGTGCATGAAAACATAATGAAGCCGATGATAATGCCACATGTAACGTTGGGATGGATGAAGAGGCAGGATGCATGTGTATGTCCTTTGATTTATTAAAAACACTGAAGAAAATGAAACTACAAAAGTGGCTAAAGAAACACAAATGACAAAATACTGACAGAAAGTAAACAAAAGACAAAGGGATATGAAGTAAACTGGTTAACAAACGAAAAATAACCAAAACAGGGCCTCTGAGAACAACACACCAAGCAAACACACAACCAGGGGCATGAATACACATTGAACAAACCAGAAACACCTGGGACTAATGAGAGGGCAGGGCTACAGACAATAGACAGGTGAGACAGATGACAAGAAGGCAGGACCAGGGAAGAGACAAAGACTAGAACAACAACAAAAGCACATGACCTATGTACACAAAGGCACGTGAAACAAGACACATGAGGGAAGATAAACAAAGGCAGACACAGACAGAAACAAAAAGCCAAAGCAGGGCAAGAGAGGACGTTACAGCCACCAACATGCAAAGCTATTTTTACACTTTACTCCAACACTAGGAATGACAAGCTCTAAACAAATGTAGCGAAGGCGCATGTGCCATCCGTTTGAATCTAAACACTGAGCCATTAGCCTTCAAAGGATTGTAAACAATGGATCTTTATCTTGTTAAAGTGGAATCATGTCCTCGGATTGTGTCTTATCATAGTAATCAGTGAACTGGTGTTCACTCAAAAGTGACCCCAGTTTACTAAGCAACTTGACTACTGCAGCTGTTTAGAAACTCTAGGAACCCAGGGGATTTCATTATGGCATGCTAAGACGTTGACTCAGGGCTTTGTTATTAATCACTGTACAATGCATTGTTTATTGGATTACCAAAAAGACTATTCACACATTAGAACTCCAGGAAATGACCTTAGCAGATGGAGGCAAGGAATTTCATGAAGAATTCAATGCAATAAACATTATTTTGGAAGGTTTGAAATATGAGATCACAGCATCTGGACACTCAAAGCTCCTCTTGTCCTGCCCTATTGTTGGACTTCCTGGGGCCATTTCATCCTTTCCCGTTTTTTTTTTTACAGGTCAATAACCTAACACCTTTGCACTCAGCATGATTGACTGGATATTTTCCAAGTCATTGCCCAAGATGATGTAGCATGGCTCTTTTACAGTGACCTATAGGTAAACACCAGAAAGTGGTAAGACATAAAAAACAATGCAAATTTTGCAGACTGTTTTAATATAAAAACTTGAAAAAAAGTAAGAAATCTAATTTTTAATTCATTTGAACTGACCTGTCCATTTTTTAAATGTTAAACTGAAAACTGTTTTTCTTGAGATGTTTATTTTTGTTGTTTTGTTTTTGTTTATTTAATTTCCTTATTCTACTTAGGTTACTTAGGTTAAATGTAGGGCTTTGGTTTAGATATATAGGCTAGTTGGTTAGTGCTGGCACAAAGCAACAAGAACCTGAAATAAAGTAATAAATGATTGCCTTATATGACTTTTGATAAATTTGACCTGGAAACACAAATGCAAACATACACACCCCTACTATGAGTCAGGCGGTAGTGACCCAGTAGCAGCTTGTTTGCTTTTTCAGTGTTTTTGGGAGCTGATCTCTGATACGATACAGAATGCAGAAGAATGTGCACACCAGATGTCATGTCTTGACAAGCAAGGTTGACAATACTATTGTAAGACCTGGAAGCTTTATAAGTAATAACCCAAAGAGGTTACCAGGTTTGTTTGTAAAGGCAACTTTATCAGTTTCAAAAACACTTTACATGCAAAAGGTTAATCAAAATGTAGGCTCAAACAGCTTTTAGTTTGCTTCTGCTTAGTCTATAAACAGTGTGCTGAAATGTGCCATGATATTCCTAGTCCTCTTAGTCTCCTAATTTAAAAGATGAGTGGACATTCTGTGGTCAGGTTTTAGTTTTCAGCATACAGTTCTATCATAGACTCACTTTGTTAGGGTACGAGGTGAATTTTACATAGCACAAACACCAAGTACCAACATATTAACACCAAGTTCAGCCTTAAAACAATGATCAACATCAAATGCATCACTGAGGAGACCAATATAGTAGAAAGCACAAAAACAAGGCCACATAATGTGATAGATATGAAGCCACACTCTTCCTTAGAAGTCCCAGCACCCTGCCATTTTTAACATACCCTCATCCGCTTGGCCTCTCCATTTTCTCTCAGAGAGATCACCAATGCCATCTGAAGGCCTGTTCCATTATTTTATTAGCTCAAGTAAAGTGTGTTCAAGTTAACACAAGTGTCGACTTTTGCAGTGGAACTTGCCCAGAAATCATAGTGACCCAATGCATTTTTTTCTTTGCAACCTGAAAAAAACAATGGTGCCCAAAGCTATTTATAAGCCATTGCAATAACCTACTTTCAAATACTTGATAGCTGATGGTCAGTAGTAAACCACAGCATTCAATTTGCCAGTTTCACACTGAGTTTAAGGTAGTAAACTACTCCATGTGTTATATATGACTGCATCTTCATTACTTTACTTTGCTAGCTGGCTAGGTGGCAAGCTAAAGGCTACACGTCTAGAAACGACAAGAAAAAAGGCAATGCACAGCAGTTTTAAACCAAAGCTTAAAGCCAGACAAAGCAAGTATTTACAAAATGTATGAATATTATCTTTAAACTTTTTAAAGATCTGTTTTACATGTCAACGTTTGACCAGCTAGCTGATTTGCTTGCTGAGGCTAACTGCGTTATAACCGAAAAATACACTCCTTATTGTTTCCTCCTCCTCTTGTTAGCAGCCACTCATGTAACCCAGATGTGACGGGCCAATCAATCAGATATTCATGATGCTTTGAGATACATGTAAGACTTCCTTATTGAATGTCTAACCATTCCACTGGAAAATAAATTCTGTTATCTGGGCTTCCTTAATGATTATATGCTTTTACACCTGCTGAACAAAGCAGGTTATTCAGTTGCCAATAAGTGAATAGTTGTTAGCTTACAAAGTGCAGCTATTACAACCAGTTAACCTGCTTAGCAGCTCTGGACACTGTTTCTAGCTTACCAACAATTCAGAAAAGCATGCTGACAATTACTGATAACTTATTAAAATATAGTGGTGTTTATGTCCGTTAAAGGTGGCTCAGAGCTACAGCTCATCTGATTAACATGTGCATTGTTGGCACTTCCTGTCATCTCCTAGCCTAATAAAACTGAATGATTATTTTAGCCAATTTCCTTATTGATGAGAATTATAATACCAATAAAAAAAAAATTAAGCATTTTGCTAGCATTCATTTTTAACTAACAATATATTACTGAGAAGATTGTATAAACCAGTTCTAGGCTACTTTTTTTAAGAGTATGAGTGAATGTTTAAGGTAGAGAGTGAATGCATGATAATACCAGAATCATATGAGTGTATTCGCAGATAATCGCTTAAAAAACAAATATGGGCATTGGGCAGACGTTTAGATGTGACTGATATTTCAAACTGATGTTATGATTTGTACAGAATGCTTAGGCGATGCTGAGCTTTGGCAAAACCATAAACTGCAAATGCAGACCTCGAGATAAGTCAAGAGAATGAGTGAGTGAGCAAATAGGTGATGAGTGAGTGAAACACCACCTACATAACCAAGTTGTGAGGGAGGGTTGCCAGAAGAAAGCTTCCAACAAACCCAAGTGGCTACAGTTTGCCTGACGTTACTGGAATTTTCAGTGGGACCATGTTCTGTGGTCAGATGAGACCAAAACAGAGCTTTTTGGCAACAAACACCCAAGGTGGGTTTGGCATAGACACATAGCCATGCTGAAAAGTAGCTCATCCCTACTGTGAGGCACGGCAGTGGATATGTGATCCACTGTGGGGCTGTTTTTCTTACAAGGAAAGAACAACTTGTAGTCCTGATTGGATCTTCCAGCAGAACAATGATCCAAAGGACACTTGAAAATGATTCAGTGACCACAGAATCAAGGTTTTGTAATGGCCATCCCAGTCCCCTGACCTTATTCCTTTAGAAAACCTGTGGGTTGAGCTGATAAGGGCAGTCCATAAGTGAAAGAGAAGAGTGAGTGAGTGAATAAGTGGTGAGGGACAGTAAATTAGTGAGATAGCGGGAGGTGAGGGAGTGAGAGATCGATTGAGTATGGAATATTGTGAGTGAGTGAGTGAATAAATCCTGAAGAAGAGACTGATTGAGAGAGTGAGTGAGTGAGTGAGTGAGTGAGTGAATAAATCCTGAAAAAGAGATTGACTGACTGAGTGAATAAGTGCTGAGGAGGGAGAAGAGTGAGCTAATAAGTGAGAGAGTGAATAAGTGAATGAGCGCGAGTAAGTGGTTCATTCTGTTCTCCATCTGTATAAATTGCACTCATCCCTCGCCTCTGTGGCTCCTCGTGCTGTACAGTGTGACGTTACTTTAGTCTCCACCCTTCCACGCGGATGGTTCCCTAGCTAGGAAGCCGAAATCTCGCGAGATGAGACGGCCTCGGAACCCACCCCTGAGCGATGCCCTGCTGCAGTGTGTGTGTGAGTGTGAGCGTGTGTATGACTGTGTGTATATAGCAGCAGCAGCGGGAGAGCGGCCGCAGCGCGAGGACGAGTTGCGGCAAGGTCGCCACAGCATCACACGATAACTAGCCTTGAACATCAGCGAAAAGCATTTATACGGACATCATCCGCTTCGCCACGGAGCTGTGAGGGACGCAGACTCGCTCTGTGTCTTCAGCTTTGTTTTCTTCCTTTTTTTCCCGGATTCAAAAGCTCATCCGGACCTGGAAGCCGATGACTCTCGCGCCAAGAAAGCGCGAGCTTCCGAACGTCAGGCTTCTCCATTTCGGTCCTCGCGCGTGAAGTCGTTCGGTTACCGTTACGGTTTGAAAGGAGCGACGGTTGGCAGCTGTGACTGAATTACTGAGGTAAAACTAACGTTAGACGGCTGTTGTTCCGTGAGGGAGGGAAAGAGGCGGCTAGCTGAGCGCTTTCTCTCGGCGCGTGTGAGACAATAACTAACGTTAGCGCATCACCACCAACTAACGTTAACTAGCTGCTACTTTCCGTCGTCGCCCTCACACGCGAGTTTCACCGGACGTGAACGTTAACTGGAAGCGGCTATCGCCCGCCTGCTGCCCGAGCCAAGTCGAGCCTCGCCATGTCAGCGCCACCGAGCCCCACTTCTTTTTGTCCCGGAGAAGCCGCCCCGCCAGAAACGGACACCCTCGCGGTGGACGGCGGTTTGAAACCCGCGGGTCCCACGCCTAGCCAGAGCCGCTTTCAGGTGGATCTCGTGACAGAGGCGGCCGGGAGTGAGAAAGCCACCGCTACTGACTGCTCATCGGTAGCCGCCGGAGATGGCGCAGAGAAGGCAGCCGAGGAGGCGAAGGGCAGGTTCCGGGTAGTGAACTTCGCGGACCCGCGCAGCGCGGCCTCCAGCCCGGATGCGGCGCCGGTCGAGGGCGTGCAGAACGGGGACACCGTGATGAGTGAGGGCAGCCTGCACTCCTCCACCGGAGGCCAGCAGCACTATCACTACGACACGCACACCAATACGTACTACTTGAGGACTTTTGGCCACAATACTATCGATGCCGTGCCTAACATCGACTTCTACCGGCAGACCGCAGCGCCCCTGGGGGAGAAGCTCATCAGACCCACCCTGTCAGAACTGCACGACGAGTTAGATAAGGTAAGGCCCCGGGGCTGGGATGGATGAATGGGGCTCCACGGTGCATTTTGCCTGTGTCAGTAAGCACATTTAGGCTCCTTTGCTTTTCAGCGCGATCAGAAGACACGTGCTACGTGAATTTGAATGGAGGTGGAAGATCCAGTTCGCAGTCAGAGCTGATAAGCCTGTGGTGAACTGCTCTGAAATGTGAGCTTTACACTGTGTGTAGCACCAGTCCTTTAGTGTAACCCCTGCCCCCTCTTTGCACCAGAGAAAGAGAGGTTGAACTCAGTAGCTTGCACGTGCAACGCCCATCTATACATGTGGGTATATATGAGTAATAATGAAGCTGTTTAATTTTTTTTTATCTGTGGAGTGACCTTAGTATTTGAATAGGTAGACATTATTGAGTAATATCTGCCTAAAGGAAGTGTTCAGCCCCGCTACTCTTTGAATAGCTGCATTTGTACAGCACATGTTGACTTACCTGTTCCTGCACATACCAGGGAGCATATGTTTTTGCTGCCTCTTTAGTTGCAAGGTAACTGTATCCCGTAAAAATGACAGATGTGTGCCTAAGTAGAAGGTTTTTGGACTGTGACACAAAACACAAAAGACTTTTTAAATTTATAGCAGAACCACCTGCAACGCCGGAGCAGGAGGGGTGTGATTGGATTTCAGAAGCCTAATCACAAGCAGTTGTGCATCTGCGGCAGGTGGCGAACTCACAGCCATTCAGCCAATAATTGACTTGCTGACTTTCCAATATAAATTAGTTTGCGATCTGAGTGCACTTGTTTTATTTGGTGGCATCCTGTGAAATTCTCTAAGCGCCAAGGGGAGAATAACAATTGGTTTGGGCATTTAGAGGGTAGAGTATTTCAGATTGTGTGTGCTTACAGTATGAGATGGGCATGCAGATCTCTCCATAAAGAAACGTTTGAAGCATGCAGTGCGGTCTAGGATCTATTTAGCACAAGTGCAGTCTCCTCCCACCAAACTGGACATGGTCAGTGGGATGGCCAGCTGTGGCTGACTGACAAAGTGAGGAATTCACGTTCAGTATCACTTGCACTCGATTGTGAAGAGGCTGAATGTGATTAATGTATTCAGCTGAACACACAAACCTTGTCTCTTAAGGTTTAGTGCCTCCACATTTTTGGTGTATGGTCTTTGTCTGGCCACAAAGTAGAAACACTCGTTTTGAATTTCAGACAGATAAATGTTGAAATTATTGGAAAGTTTACATTCCAGCATAGGACTTGTTTTGTGGAATAGGCTTGTAAATGCACTGTTTCAGGGAACAGCTGTCTGCATATCTGTCTATCTGACAGAGCCTGTTCTTTGGATCCTCATTCGTTGTTACTTTGACATTTTCTCTCGTTCAGCCTGTAAACCCCATTTCTCTTCTCTTTTCTGCTGTCCACTTCTCTTCTTGTAAAACCTTTGGGCTCCTCAGTCTGAATCACTTTACAGGCTAATTAAATAGGAGAGAAATCACTTGTTTCAAAATAAACATGGAATAGTAGCAGATAAGGAGGTGAGTGACGGAGTAGAACGATCCCTCTGTCACCTGATGGGTTTCTCTGTCTGCTTTAACTCTGGCCTAACTGTCATTCACTTTTTTTAGTGGCGTAAGACATCGCAGTCATAGTTTTCGTGCTGTTTGTTTGGCTCCTTTATCCTACTTTATTTAAAACAGCCTGCCGTTTACTACCTTTCTTTGGCTGCAAGCCTGACTTTAGCTGAAGCTGCAGTCAGTAACCTGATACTTGTAAATAGTTGCTGTGTTGGATGGAACTTATGTACACTTTATACTTTTTTCATTATTCAGTCATTCCCTTTTTAAACAGTTTATCACATGGTGCACATTTCGAAGGGGAACTGCCCATTTAAACTTCATTGTTTAATGACTCTAAGTGCAGAATCTATGCTGTAACATGTTCACAGTTTAGCTGTAATTGCCACTTCCCCCTTCCCCTCAAAACATCTACTCTGCAGTGACTGCACAGCTAAATCCTTCTGCTTAGTTTTTCAGTGCCTGTTCTGTTAAAAGGGACTCAATCATTTATTATGTAACATTGGCGCTTGAATTTAAAGTTTGCCATGCTTTCTGATTGAACTAGTTTTTCCTACTGTAGTTATTTGGCAGATGCTACTGTACTACACTCCATGACCGAATGGAAACTCTGCTTTATTGGCTGCCCTGAGTGGATCTTGAACAGAAATCAATGTGTACTAGTGTGGTTTTATTCTGACCACTAAATGAGACTGGCTTTATGATGCTATCTACATATACCTGCTTGTTTCTTGGATTTCCCATAGCCCTAAGCGTATGACGCGTTGGCGGCATGTTATGTCATGCCTGCGTGTTGCTTTAATGGAACAGTTTGGCTGTAAGCCTATTGGAGAATGGTTTGTGCTTGGTGGCTGCACAGTTTACAGTGCTTGACAGCAGCGGGGCTAAGCCGCAGGAAGATAGCGGTGGCTCACTGCGTGCCGGACCTAAGCATGGAGCTGTGTGATATTGACCAGCCAGAGGGAAACCCTGACGGGGCAGATTTATTCAGCACGGTGCGGCCGAGCAGAAACAGATTGTGCTGAAATATTGATGTCTTCTCCTCTGCCTAGAGAGAGAGGCCAGCTGATTTTCCTAATGTCACCAGCACAGAAAGGATTTACGGAGTTTGCAGTGTAAAGTAGCAAGGACTGTCATTCTCCCTAAAATTCCCATTACATTTTTTTTGTTTTCTAAAAATATTTTCAATTGGACAGTGACACACTGTTTGTACCTTCATGTATTGAATTTGAAATAAGTTACTGTGATGTTGCAGTGCCGAAGGTTTTTTTGGGTGAAGCATTATGTATATTAGGGAACTATAAGTATTGAACAGTTGGCTATTCAGTTGTTTCGCCAGCTGTTTGTTGTTGTACCTGTTATACACAAGAGAGCCAGCAAAAGGTTCTGCAATTTCCTGTTTGAAAAGATTAAATGGCTGCAAGTCAACATGCACAGGTTCATCTGGTTTGTATTTATATTTTTTATATGGTTTTCAAATACCAATAGACCCAGTACGTCTGTGCGGATTTTACCTTTTTTTTGGACTTTCTTCTTTTTTTCTTAAACCTGACTGGCCATAGTTTTAGGTTAGAAAGCTTCATTAATTGTAGTCATGAACAATATGTATTATGTCATTAGCTGCTCAGAAAGATAAACCTTTCAGAATTCTTTGTGGTTTAGTTGGTTTACCTTAATTAGCTCTTATTTCATCAGTTCTCTTCATAAAGTTTTTTTTTTATAACATGAGGTTAGATTTGGATGCATTTCACGTGGGTATATTAACAATGATGGTGTTTTTATTTATGTTTTTTTTTGGGGGGGGGGTTAACATTTAGTAAGTCAGCCTATAATAAAAATGAGCAGGCAGTGACTGCCAGCTTAAACAGTCTCAGAAGACACTGGCATCCAAGTTTGACACAGTTACAGGTTTTTCTGTTTTGATGTACAGCAAGTCATATTGGTCTGGCCCTTGTTTCTGGAGGAAAAACCATGTTGCCCCACTACCCTTTCTATGGCTGGAATGACACCAATGAACTGAAACACTCTGTCTCACTGCAGGATAGCCAGGTTCATGTGCCTTTTGTCCTTTCTAACCTCTCTAGTTTCTTAGACATGGCCCTTTGGTGATACCTGAGCTTCATTGAATTTTACGTCCTTCTATTGAAGAGTTGGTGACGTGATGTGAAACTTGACTCCATCACATAGCCATGCTGATACCCAACTGGCTACTACATTGTATAATGAGGAAAAGAAGGACCCATCTATCGTTCTTGCCCAACTACAGCTTCTTACCTGATATGTGGCACGGCTGGGTGTTGAGCCTCTATAGTTAAACCTCTGCTGTCCTGCGAAAGGCACTTAAGCCTTAAGGTTGTTTATAAATTTAGGTGATGTTAAGTTATGCAGTGTGTTATTGATTTGTGTGAAACAGTAATAATGCGGATAATGTAGTTTTCTTTTTTAAAGCAAAAAAAAAAGCATTCCTAGATTGCAAAGCATAGCTGAATTAAACAGAATTAACTTTTTCCAGTGATTTAAGCAAAAATGCAGTAGCCTAATTCATTGGTCTAGCTACATGAATTTAACAGCATAAATTAATGGCGCACTGGTCAATTTTTCTTACTTTGTCTTGCCAAGATTAACCCACCTGTGTTGCCTAAGTCACTCAGTGTGATTGTGTGTTTATGTGTTGGTAGGCTATTATTGTAGTATGTTTTCAATTAGCTCTTAATTTATTGACAGATGAAAATGTTTAATTATAATAATGTCCCCCTTTCAGATGCAAGTGACTTTATCTGATGGTCACTGTGCTAACTCTATGAGCTGCATGTTCCAAGTGTGCTTGTAAAGGCCAGGCCAGACCAGGCTGGAAAAAAAAAAAACCCTCTGGTCGCCTAGCACTCAGTGCCCTACGTCTCCATAGTGATGCCAGTCTCTTGGGTAGACATGATGAAAGCATAGAACGGTGGGCAGACCACAACAGGTTGTCTCCTGTGGCCAAGCTGATGAGGGAGCAATGGCACGACTTATTGATCTTTCAAGCCTTGTATGTTTTAGACTCGCACAGAGAAATGCACCATTTGACAGGGTTGAAAGCACAACTAGTATAGGTTATTCTAGACCAGGCTCCCAAATTCAAATGGTTGGAAAAATCCATTTTTTTTTAAACTACATTTAACTTTTATTATCATAAGAAGCAGCGTAAGCTTATGTTGGCTGAGCAGCTACAGTGTCTGCTGCAGAAAGAAAATCTCCCCCTTAAATGTAAATTTTTTACTGCAGAGAAAAAATTATTTGCTGTATTTTAGGGATTGAACCCTGCTCTCTCACATGGGGGTCAAGTAACTTGACCATTAGGCTTAACAGCCACTTAAAAACACACGTGCACAGCTCAAAAACTACTCTCTAATCCTGAATTACAAACCTGTAAATACAAACAGCATTATATTTTAAGTGTGTG